GATGGTGATAAGAACAGGTGAGAGGTGGTAGAAAATTAGCAACAACAACAATAAAAATCTAGATAAAGGAAAGAGCATTTCCTTTACCCTAGATACTAATTATTTTTATTAGTCAATTTGAATCTCCATTAACATATTTTAAGCAGTAATCAAGGTTTGAGAATCTTTAGAGGTATAAATTTAGAGGAATGTACCACAAACATCTGATTCTGTATAGAATCATAAAAATATTTTTTTTAAGTGTGAGATCTCAGAGAATATCTATCTCAACACTTGAATTTCATGGCTTAGGAAACTGAGGTAAACAGCAACAAAAAAGTGATTCAATGTAAAAGGCAGAACCAAGATAGAACTGTCTTCCTAATTCTTAATCCAGTGGTCATCTATCATATGGGGTTTGGAAAGATTTTTATAAGGAATAATTATAGGAATCTTAATTGCTCAATTTTTTTTTTTTGTTACCTCAAGAAAGCATAGCACTTTGGTGCCATTAGAAGGCCAAATCAGACCTTTCTGGATTTTTGTTGTTCACTTGAAAACTTTATAAAAATTGAAGTAAAAAAAATTACATGCTATTTTGTTGTTAGTCCTCACCTGAGGATACTTTTTCCATTGCTTTTTCTGAGAGAGTGAGAGAGGGGGTTTGGGGATGGGGGGAGAGAAAGGAAGAGAGAGAGAGAAAGAGAGAGAGAGAGAGAGAGAGGAGAGACATCAATGTGAGAGAGCCACATCAACTGGTTGCCTCCCATACTCACTCCTGGGGCAGGGATTGAACCTGCAACCCAGGTAGGAGCTGAACCTGAGACCCTTTGATGCGCAGGCGGACACTCTAACCAGTGAGCACACTAGCTAGGGCAATTACATGCCTTTGTTTTCTTAAATAAATTTGCAGTGGGTGTATTTTGTCTCCAACAAATTTACAAGTTTACTAGTATAATTTTAGTCATTTACTTTACATTTTGGGGTCATATTATTTTTAAGTTTGCTTAGCTAAAATTTTGATATGTGAAACGTAGGGACATGAAAAACAATGTAACTATACATTCATAATTGGCACAAAAATGAGTAAAAAATAAAAATTTTGGAATGAGCATAAAAATATTATTCAGTGTAATCTTAACTGACTTAGTAGGTCTTATTGCAGCAGTATTGAATAATTGACAAAATTGATTGTGCATTTAATTCTGTACAGAGATTCAAGTAAATGAGTTTAAAATAAGTAAGTAAATAACACAGACAAGGTAAAAGGAGGTATTTGCAACTGAGATGAAGGAGAGATGTTTCATTAGAACATCATTAGGTTGCTGTTTCTCAGAGTGTGGTATGAAGACTCCCGGCTTCAGAATCACCCTGATCCTGTGAAAAACGCAGATTCCTGAGCCATTTCCTTGATTTAGCAAATCAGAATCTCCCAAGTGCGACATGCTCTTCAGTGGGACAATGCACACTAGGGACATTTTCAAGGGGCAAGAATATGTCTCTACTGTGTCATGCTGGTGTTGGTCAAGAAAAGTGTTCCATAATTTAAAACAGAGGGAAACAGGTGGAGTCAGAAAGAGGAAACATTTCTAAGTAGATAAACAGAGAGCTACATGGAGCGTGGTCTCAGCCGCTTGCACTGCTATGCTCGGGTTCTCTCTGGCCCGCGTCCTGTGCCCTTCGCAGCGAGGCTGTCTTCAGCAGTCCTGCCCTTAGGTCTTTGGCTCTCCCCAGGATTCACAGGGTCTCGTTGACCTCAGCCATGTCATGACTCAGGGTCCATGACCCCCATTTTCTCCCCTTGAGGTCCCCTCCTACCAGAGCTCTGGCCTCATATCTAACTGCATCGTGGGGTCGGCCTTCACACTCAGCTTATCTCAGTATTTTCTGGAGCATTTTGCAAAGGTGTTGTCATTGTAAAAATTGGCAAAGAATAAGAAGGAATAGCCAGGTAGATGTACATATGACTAGTTTGGCCCTTGACTCGGGCTCTGATAGTTAAAGGTACCACGCTGGTCATTTATTGTTCATTATATTTGGCTAATTCAACCCAAGCATCTACCTCACTGAGCAGATTTTACTATTTACACTGAGTTATTTTGTAAAACATGGAATGCAACAAACTCAGAAAGTTGGGGCTAGACATACTACATGGGTATTTATTAAATCTGAAAAATGTTCTTGAAACAGTGATCCTAAAAATAATTAATTATATGGATCTGACAGATAAATATTACACTTAAGAACAGTTGTTCTGTAAGAGATATTTCATTTACAGAATTTTTGTTTACGTATTTAATTAATTATTTATTTATTTTTTACAAAGGTAAACCAGAATGAAAAAAGTCAAGTTGTGTTTAGTGTTAGTCACCCCAGGAATGACATCCCCAGCTAATTCGAACGCCCCATCTTGAGAGCTTTTGCAGGAGGGATACAATTAGGAAACTGAATGGGCTTGGGCAAGCTGCGGAATCCTGCCAAAGCCGTCCCACCCTAGAGCGGTGCCACCACCGTGGAAGACAACCCCCCC